GTTATAACATTCCTCCAGACCTGTTCTCAAGCTTATTTAATATTAGTTAGGGATCCTTGCTGACTATTCTTCAGATCAGAACATCCTGTCTTTGCTTTACTTTCCTTAAGCATCACTGTGGTCAGAGAAATTAAGCAGCTATGAAATGCTCCAGTTTTGGGCAGAATCATGGAAACTATTTTAGGCCTCAGCTGTTACTTGTGGTCCCTTTCCCCTGTTGGGGTGGTGCGCTGTTTGCTATCGCTGCAGTTCAGCTGCATCCCTAACCACAAATGATCTCCACCACCTTCACTGCTTCTTTGCCAAGTGGGAGGTAGCACCTGTTCACAGACCAGAAGCCCAAATGCTGAGCTGTGCATTTCCACAATGCTTTCAGTATTAACTCTTTCTTCTCCCTTCCCAAAAGATGTTGTAACTTTTCAGCACACTGAACATTTTCAACTGGACATGACAGAAGGGTGGAGATCTCAAAGATATGAAATTACTACTAGTTTTGTAGGCAGCTGGTGAGGAAGGGAGAGATTTAGTGCTCTCTGACAGAAAGTCTGTAGCTTCCGAGCTCTAGACTTTTACCTTGTTTGGTTTACTGACACCCAGTACAACTTGGGATAGCTCAGAAATCACAGAGGCATGGGCTCCTTCTTTCTCCATAGACAGGAAACCAGACTTCATGAGTTTTCCAGATCGGTAATGATTCATTCTCCACTTGCAGCTTTTAGTACTAGATACCATTATCTTAAACCAAACCCAAAGCCTATGCTTAAATTCATAACTTATTGGCAAGGTGTAACCCAGAGTGAATTTTCTGATAACTTTTTTTCTGAAGTCACGGAAATGTTCAGCTCAGATTGGCATAGCAGTGAACAAGTATTAGCAGCAGTGAAGGCAGTGTCAGGGAAAGCCTTGGGAAACATGAATTTCACAGAATGAAATCAGAGTATACTAGGAGAAGAAAAAGCATTCACATCTGAAAAGAGGCTATAATGGGACAAAATTGAATTTAAATGGAAATTTTGAAGATCAAAAACTGGGATGTGCTTATTTTGGTGGAGAAAAGAAATTGAAGAAGTTTCATGTGATGCATTGTAAAGGTGGCAGAGGCTTATTAAAGAACAGTTTTAGAGCCAGCTGCTCTTGGATTTTAATAGTGTAACTACCAAGGCTGCAGGCCATGTGGCTACAATGATGATGCAATACTTTAAAACATATGGGAAGATTTACAGGTGCACTATTCCTAACTGGGTAGCAGTAAATGCTATACTACCCAAAGTAGAAGTGTAAGCACTGTTTACCTGCATATGTTTTTTTTTTGTTTGTTTGTTTTTTTTTGTTTTTGTTTTTGAATATATATTTTATATATTTTTAGTCAAAAATATGCATTTTTGGCTAAGCCACTAAACTGCACAGGTACACCAGGCACCCAAGATAAGTGAAAAAAGAGGAGTTTAAATCCAAGATAGGAGGAATGCAAACAGGGAAACCGGGATCTGGCATTTCGTTCTTTGCCCCAGCCCATTTGAATCACACTGTGTAGGATCTTGATTTGGGGGTCTCCATGCTGGGATTGTACTCACAAAACAGAGCTGAACATGTGTGTTTCATGAAGGTTAAGTCTCTGTCTTCATCAAAGGATGTGACTGGGAATTAAATGAGTAAATAGAAACATAATTTTCTTATGCAAGAAGAGAGGGAATTATCATCTTCCAGGCTCATGAAGATTTTATCATTTTTATTCTACTTTAATGTCCTATTTGCCTGGAATCTGGCTTGGCTTCAGGCACATGTTTCTGTGGTACTTTCTGTATGAAGAGGTTTGCCTCTTTTCACACATTAAAAAATTGGAAAATAATTTTAGGTCACATGTTCTTCTCAAGCTTTACTTATATTTAGAGTTTATTTGGTACAATATGATCTAAAGCATAAATTGTTTTGCCCCATCATATAAAATGTTTATTTAGTTCTATAACTAGCTAATGAGATTTGAAGTAACAAGGAAAGACTTTCCTTTTCCTCTCCTCTTTTCCTTTACAGAAAGAAAATGAAAAAAGATTTGTAGAAAATATCCAAATCATCATGTATCTAGAAAGAGTATCTTATGGAGGTTCAGATATGCTAAAATATGAGTAAACAGACAAATCTGAGGAATTAATAAAATATTATGTAACAGGGTAAAATATAAAAAGAATAAGTGAACAACTGGCAGATAACAAGAAAAAAAGTTAAAGCACAAAAGACAGAATTCCTGTAAATCCAGGGTTAGCTTTATTAACATTAAAACTTTCATGCTGTAAGAGATGCACTAACAGAAAATAATAATGACGTGAAGAAGACAACCTAAAAGCTTTTTTATTTTTAAGCTAATGTAAGAACATTAAGATTTTAGAAATAAGAATGAACAAACCATGTAATAATTCAACATGAGGTATGTAGCCTTTCTTATAGTAACAGATTAATAGCAATGCACATTAACATTATGCATTAACATTAGCATTTATGTATTATGCTTAAGATGTTTATAAACTTAGTAATAAAGACATTTGATCATCAGGTATTCTAGGGTTTTAGTAAATTCAAGCCCTGCTTTCCAAGATACTTCCCAGTACCTCTTTTTCAGCTGGTGTTCCTGATAGTATCTGTGATATGGAAATCAACATAAGCTTTAAGTCAAGTAACAAGATGAACTGTTACTTACAATGAGTAGTACACCAAGTATAGTTTACAAAAATAGTATATATGTGTATGCAACTTAAATAATTGTACAGGTTAAATAATTAAATAATAACTATAAAATCAGCTTGTTTAAGGATTTATATTGAGGAATTGGTAAACATGTTCAAATAAACTTTAAACTTGTTTAAATGTACTTTTATATAAATATCTACTTTGAATTATCTGTTGCATTTAATGTTCAAATGTATGCCTTAAAGGAAACTGGGTCACCCCCTGGACACCTGAGAGCGCTATAGTCTCCTATATTTGTGTATGTTATCATGATGCATTATAAGAGGAATGAAGTGCATAAGCACAAAGTTTATTTCCTCCAGGTGCACTCCCTTGTTTAAAAGTGACTCAGGAACCTCTTTTTATGGTCAGAAATATAGGCATTCCAATTGTATTTTCATCCCCCTGAATTGTACTAAAATGATCATAATTTTACTTTATATAATTGTACCATAGCATCAGGTTAAACTTGTTTAACTAAATCAGTTACATTCTTAGTAATACTCATTTAAAATGACAGTAGAGAGTAATAATACTTCCTAAACTTAAATTCATAATCACAGTCATAACTTTTAGACTTTTAAAGTAAGCATGATCAGTAATGCAATGATGAAGCACAGTATATAGTCATTTAGAACTGCAAATTTTACCTATGACTGATGCATATGAGTAGGCCACATCTGTTATACCCACACCTGATTGGAACAGAACTTCTCACAGTAGATTTGTGGTTCCATAGACCTTAAGCAGTCACCATACCATGCGCTTGGGTGTGCTTCATTCTCATTCACCAGCATAGCAAGCTGCTCATTGTCTGTTCCAGTCTGCTTTAAAGCATGTCACATACAGTTGGCCATGGCAAGAGTGAAGATTATTTCCAGTAGAGGAGAAATTAATATATTAGTGGCTCAGAGTTTTACTGTTATTTGCTTGTAAAAAGCAAAATCCCTGCCTCTAAATAACTGAAAGCAGAAAAAACAGTGGTTCAATGGTGCTTGCAGTTCTTGTTTTGACATGTTCTGTATCACTCCCTTCCTCAAGCAACAATGTTTAGATTGCTTTAAAAAGATAAACTAGACAGCATCTCTAATTATCTCTTTTGCTCATAGATATTGCCTAGTATTGCAACAATCATGGAGACTGTGATGTATATTTGTTAATTAACAGCTTAATGAGCTACTCTCTCAGATTGTTAATTAGGTCAGACTTCTGGGTTACAGCCATTATTTTTAAAACAAACAAAATCCATTGATAAATCTCTCTCTTGGGGTTTCTTGGGGTAGATGATGTTAGATGATGATGTCAGGTTCAGTGCCATGCACTTTGGCTAATGATAGCCTTGGATCAAGGAGGACACTAACAATTACAAACTTATCAGAGGCAAGAAATCAGCTGACCCAATGATTGTAACTGTAATTAAACTGAGCCCTGGGGCTAACAAGAAAATTGTGATAAACTGAGCAAGAAATTGTTCATTGTCTGTTGTGTCCTCTTCCTTTTGACATTACTATTTGTAGAAGAAAACAGTCATGAAAATCTTCTCTCATGTTCACAGTTGCAAAGCATTACAACCATTACCATAATGAACAGGGCTGAGGTTTGTGATGGGAAAATTGACTAGGGAAAAAAAAAAAAAAAAAAAAAGATAGTTGGTAATTATCCTTATCTGTCTCTGATCAAAAAAAAATTATCTTTCACTGATAATTTGTTAATATTACCTTCACCTGTTGCTCAGTAACTTTTGACTTTCTTCTGCTGCAGTCTGACTAGCAAGTGACTATGCAGGTTAGTATTTTGTTTTGCTTTGGATCTTAATATGTTTTAGTTTAAAAACAGATCTAACCAGGTGAGTGTGTAGAGAGAAGTGCTGTCCCCCTTTTAATGCATCAGACTGTTAGATAACTGCAGACTACCCAGATTGGGAATTCTGAAGTCTTATGAAAGATAATCAAGGCATTATAGTCCTAATAATTCTTAGTTTGATTGTTAGGCAGTGTACTTGAATTATTCCACAGCTATAATGATGAAATTAATCTCGGTGATATGTTGAATAATGCAGCTCTGAACATTAGGCTTGGTAGTATTGCCAGCAGTGAGCTATTGAGAGGAGCCAACGTGTTCATTCAGGCTTTGTAAAAGCAAAGATGCTCCGACAGTGAGCTCTGACTGAAAAAAAGCTGGGGTGATTATTAGGCTTGCTGTTTCAGCAGTTCATTTGAGGTCCCTCATCCTTAACTAACAACAACAACAACTTAATGCCAGTCCCTGTGCCTCCTGCTCTGTCCTCACCAGATTCTGGGCCCCACGACCTGTGTTGGAGCCTGCAGACCTGCGTGGGCATGGTCGTCCCTCTCCCGTTTGCCTGTGGTGAGCAATGACATTTGGTTGCTCAGGCTGGGTGTTCAGAAAACATGCTCCTGTGTCTCTCTAGCCTTGTCTCGATATTTTTGGCTTGGTATGCTGAGCTAGCCCTCTTATCTCAGAGCTGCTTTAGAGTTGTACTCCCGCCCAATGTACTGCCGAAATCTCTGCAAGTCTCTCTTGTGTATGCGTGTGTGTTGAGTATGCTGAAAATCTGAATGCAATATTATTTTGCATTATTAGAAGTAATCCTTGATCTGTTCCTGCTACCAGACACTGAAAATCTGTGTAGTTTTGATGTTACGATTTTCTGACAGAAAGAACAAAATAGTATTTTCATATCCTTTGTTCTTTGCTGAAGGCATTTAAACATGCTTTATCTGAAAATATTCTAGTGTGTAACTATCAAGAGAATCAATTGCCACAAGAAAGCTCTTAGATATGAGTGATTAATGACTAGAAGCACTGATATTTTTAATTATTTATTTTGCAAATAATAAGATTTGCTTGCAAAAGGGGTAAAAGTAATGTAGCATTTATTAGAAAGCTTATGACATTATTAATAAGGCAGATTTCCTTATTGGTTTTGGAGATAATTATGTTATTTTTATCTGCTTGCTTTATACATGTGATTAAATGAATTATGATAAATGTAACAGACTCTTTATGTTTAGCTCTCATTGCTTGTATCATAATATTAACATGGATTTGTAGTCATGTATGATGGTTATAGTATAATATTTTCTCTAACCACGATTTCTCCAGCACAATTCTCTGCACTGATCTTGCTGAGAAAGTACATTAAAAAAAAAAAAAAAAAAAAATATATATATATATTAAGACTGTTTAAGAAGGCAGTCACAGTCACTGCCACCATTAACTGGCCTGGCAAGACATCATCACCACATTGGCTGTTAAGAAAGTTAAAGATGTTATTTCTTGCCAGACTTCCCTGGTCCTCTAGAATTCCTCTGTAAATTTTCAGGAGAGATTCCTGAGAGTCTGCAGTGATAATATTCTGCAGCTACAGAATGTTGCTATTAAATACACTTTAGAGTTTTGCTAAAGTCAATGGCATGTGCTGTTACCAATTTAGTTCACCCCTTCTATCCTGGTGGATGGTTTCCTATTTTTCCCCCTCCCCTCCTTAGACCATCTGCAGTATCCTAGAAAAAAAGCATCTGCTGGGTGAAACCTGCTTGAGGATGTGAAAAAAAAAACAAAAAACAAAAAACAAAAAACTGCCTAGCAATGAGGAATTAGAGGCCATCATTTTCTAGTGTAGTTGAATGGTCATTTTATCATAGCTGATGCATACCTGTGTTGGAAAGAGATTTCAGTCAGCAGAAAAACGCAAAAGAAAAGACAGTAGTTTTGATCTGAAGCTGAGCAAAATTTAAATGTGAAATGAAGTCAGTGGGTGCATTTGTGGCCTAATGGTTGTAGTTCAAAGAGATATGATAAGCTCCATAGCAATTACTAGGTGACATACAGTGGCCTATTTATGCCACTATATATCACTACAGATGCTTACGGCATTCTAAGTGTGAAATTCTATGGAAATTAAGAAGTAACACCATAAGTGCCTGAATTCAACACTTAATGTTATTTTATGTGGGGCTTGTGCTGTTCCACAGATAAATAAGTGCTGAAATTATGTTAAATTTTTCTATATAACAATTGCTAAAATCTTTAGAGCAGTCTGTAAAATAAAACCATTTCTGTCATAATTGTGCTTTGTTTTCCTTAAACATTTTGACAGTGTAATTTATCTGCTACGTGTCAATGTCCAGGAAAAAAAAAAATCTGTTTGCTAATCTTTTTAGTTCTAGGGTTTAATGTGATGTTAATAATCATGCCCACAACTTGCATAGATTTAGCAAAGGCATGAATCACAGTGCAATTATATCTTAGTGAATTGAGGAATTTGTAAGTGAGCCAAAGTACTTAGCAGTTCCTGCTGTAAAAGTAGTATAAGAATATGGTATAGTGTTTCCAGATGCAGTTCTATTACAAGCTGCACCAAGAGAAGTCAAGGGGGAATTTTAATATTTCTGTGTGAAAGCAAAGAAGAAGCTGTTAATGTAAGGGTGGTCTTAGTAGCCACAAAGAAGTTTAGATTGAAGCAAGAACAATAAAGGTGTGATTATTGAACACCAAAATCCAGAAAATACTTATCTAAAACTACCCTGTAGACATGCGCGTTCATATTTTTGAAGCCTAATAAAAATTTTTAAAAATTAGCATTTGAAGGGTGCTTTATCCAGTTTGCACAGTAATGAATGGTTGCCCCACCTCATTACCACCTGGCTCTATTACTGAAGGAAGATTTACTGCCTTCAAGGACTGTCAGTGTCCTGGGATCTTGTACAGGCTTCCTGTGGTGGGAATGGGGAAAGGCCTGCAGAGGAGGGGTGAAGAGATGCTGCAATATGCTTTGCTTTTTCTACAAAAGTTTACTTGCAAGTAAACATCCAGATGAGTTTTTTTAAATTCTAACTGCTATGACAGGTAGGATGCTTCAAGGTTCTCTAAATTCATTTAATCAAATTTTCACCTGATTCCTCAGAGTCATGGTTTTAGATTAGAATTTAACTTTTAAACTGTAATTTCTTTGTCGTATGCTAAAAAGTTCAAATGCTTTTTCTCCCACTCCAACTTCCTCTTATCTGAAAATTATAGGAAACAAGGCTGAAGAAGCTGGGGCAACATCTAGTCTGGCACAGATGAAATAATTTGGCCAATGCTTTACAGTTGGCTGATGAGTTCCCTTCTGGTTTTCCAGGTTAAAGAGGGGAAGAGAGTTTGACCTGTGCCTTGGCTGCCATTGCAGGGGCCTGTGGCTCTGGCCTCAGGATTGAAGCAGGGAAACTCTGATCTACTCAATTCCTCTGTCCCAAGCAGGACTAATTATGTATAAATATTTCCTGAAAGATGTTTATATGATGTGCTCTCAAAAACTGCTAGTGATGGAAATTTCTCCATTTCTTTTAGGAAATCTATCACAGTGCTGGAAATACTTCTCTCTTGATCTTGATTCTCTCTTGATCTTGATTGCCCAAATCTGTCTGGATGTAACTTAAGTCCTATATCCATTGGCCCTTCTGCCATAGACACAGAAAACAGATTAATCTCTTCTTATAAGGAGCTTTTGAATATTAGAAGACTGCTCAGTCTCCCTCCAGCTTTCTGCTCCCCAAACTAAGTAGCTGCAATTCATATGAACCTTCCCTACAGGACACTTCATAGCCCTCTGATTAATATTGTCTTCATCTGGGTTGTCTCCTTCTGATCCATGGATTTCTTGAAGCTGGTACTCTGTGGGTTGCAGCACTACTGATGCAGGAGCAGTGCTGAGAAGAACAGGTTGGATGCCTTGCATACATCCCTTTTTTTAAATTTTGTTTGATGTGTACAAAGGGTACAAAGATTACTTTTCAATATTGACATTGTTGGATGCTAAGTTGAACATCTTCCTCCTTGAGTTTGGGCAGCTGATCCCTTCTAAGCACAAATACAAAATACTTTTTTTTCCCCACGCACAATCATTTCACAAACTTTTGAGTCTATTTTGAATTCTCAAGCATTAAAACAAACAAACAAACAAACCCCAACAAAACAAACAAACCAAAATTCAATAGAATTAAGCTGGAATATGTCAGCTTCTTATACCTGTTGGGTTAAAATAATGTACAGCCTACCTTCCCATACCGTTACATATAGAATAATCTAAAGGACTGATGTCTGCATATCACATTTATGTGCAGTGAAGATGAAAACCGATACTATGGTTAACCACCTTTATCATAGAAATACTTACATTGGAAAAGGCCTTTTAAACCATTGCGTCCAACCATAAGCCTAACACTGCCAAGTCCTGTACAATTACTCCCGCACAACTGTACTCTATTATGTTCTGATATTAGAGAGGTTTTAATACAAAGGGCATCTTACAATTAATCTCCCAGATGGTAAATGTTGAAGTGTACAGGTACAAAGAAAAAAGATGGGGTCAAAATATTTAGAATAGTTCTTCTTAAGGAGATTTGAATAATCTGGACCAAACTCTGCTATCCTTTTTCATGCAAGGCTTCATTTGAATGTTTGTAAAGTAACTTCTGAGGCAGATGTGACCTTTTTCTTCCTCTTGGAGCTGGACTATTATTTCACTTTGAATATTTGATAAAACTTTCAGCACAGTCATATCTTGCCTGTCACTTTCTCTTTATGAATGTTCTTTCATGACTTCCTTGAGTTTCCTGCTCTGTTTACTTCTGTCTCTATAATTCATTGCAATCTTTCCGACATTCTTTCAAATTTCAGGAAGCATCGGCACATTTTCATTCTTTTGTTCAGTGACAGTTTGTCTGTAGCTGAAATCAGATGATGTCTCTTCATTGCTGGCAATATTTCCATTACATTAATCTCTGTTGTCATTATTTCTTTGCAGGTAGGCCACTGACAGGAGTGGCAGTGTAATGAACTGCCACCACTAGACTTTAGCAAATGACAATGCAATAATGTTGACGTTGGAAACAGTGTTCATTGCATGAGTCAGAGAAATCTAGAGATTTTGCAAAGACTGTAAGTCATATCCCCGTATGTGTTGTAGTTTGTTTTGCTGTAGATAATGATAAACAGAATAATTCTTTAATACTATTAGGGTGGCAGTGGATTCTTTCTTTTTCTGCATGAGCTAAGATGGCATCAGTATTTTTTCTTCCTTTGTTGCCTAAAAGATATCTAAGAGTGGAGCTTCTGTGTGTATTTAAGTTAGCAGAAAAACTTACCTTCTTCTCACCTATGTTGTGTACTATCTGCAAAAGAGGAAAACAAAAATTTATGGAGTAGAATGGCTGCAACAGTAACTTGGAGCTGTCTAAGGACAAATAAGTATAATTATGGTTTAGTATTTCAGAACATTTTGTAACAGGACTTTTTAATTTGCACTGCTGAATCTGTAGTTCATCAGGGCATCTGCACTGCTTAGCCACGTCTTACCAGTG